TGGCTAAATTGATATATACGAGACGCTGCCTACCTGCATCCGCGTTATAAAAATGTCCATAAACAATGGTAAGTTTATATACTTTGGTTTGAAAATGTTTGGTTAAGTACCTAGAATTCAATAATTTGCTGTTTGTAGGTTTTAGATGTATAGAAAGTGTTGTTTGAGCAAATGTTTGGTTTCTGCAGGTTAATCTCAGAAGTGAACTGCGTGAAAATGATGTATGGCTGCAAAAGTTGATTCAATAGTTTAATTGATTGTTTTTTGATTGTTTAATTGATTTGTAAAAGTTGATTCAATAGTAGATGATCAGAAATAAGAATTATTGCTTATTTTTGATTGTTTAATTGATTTGTAAAAGATGATTTGTAAAAGTTGATTTGTGTAATTGATGCGAATATAATTCTTATTTGTGCTTGTTTAATTGATTGAAATGTAATGGTTGATTTTGTTGATTTCAATCTGCATTATGTTGAAGGCAAAATTGACTATCGCAATGCGAAATGAAAATCGCAATGCGAAATGAAAATCGCAACGAGAGAATCGCAATGCGAAATGAAAATCGCAATGCGGAAATGAAAATCGCAACGGGAGAATCGCAATGCGATTTTAATTTCGCATTGCGATTCTCTCGTTGCGATTTTCATTTCGCATTGCGATTTTCATTTCGCATTGCGATTCTCTCGTTGCGATTTTCATTTCGCATTGCGATTTTAATTTCCGCATTGCGATTTTCATTTCGCATTGCGATTCTCTCGTTGCGATTTTCATTTCGCATTGCGATTTTCATTTCGCATTGCGATAGTCAATTTCGCATTGCGATTCTCTCGTTGCGATTGTAATTTCCGTGTTGCGATAGTCAAATGCATGCCTAATAGTGATAACAACTGAATAACAAGAGTTGGTTAAGTCAAAATGGTTGGCCTGAGTCATTAATTCAACTGAAAATGTTAAAAGTTCACACATAAAATCCACATAATACAACGTTTGCATTTAAAAATCACCTAAGTTAACAGTCCCAAAAGGTGAAGCCAATTGTGATTTTGATGAGGATCCATATTTTGGTAGAGGAAAAGATGATTTTGATGGCACTGGTGATCCACATGTCAACCTTATATGACCACTTTCCTTGCACCGACTACATGTCGATCTCTTCTTCTCTTCACCCTTAGACGGTATACGATCGTGACTTTTTGGTCGGCCAGGTAGCCTTCTGTCCATGGCTGGTGGCAAAACTGTTTGTAAGTCATCTGGTATGTCCCACTCAGAAGGATGTGGAATAGGGTAGACAATCTCGGCATAAGTCTGTCGATAAACTTCTGTAGTGTAGCAATCCATAGCGTATGCGCTTGAATCATCTTGGTTTAAATGAAGAGCAACTTTTATAACATGGCCACACGGATAACCAGATGTTTGCCATTTCATACAACTACACGTCTTTGCATTTAGATCGACTAGCCCATTTAAGTTATTATCCAGTACTTGAAACAAAGTGTTTGAACATGGTTCAAACTCTCCATGACGTTGACTTCACAACACGTTTCGTTATCTTTTTTTCAGTCCATGGTGTAACACGATGTTCCAATGTTCCTGTAAATTTAAATAAACAATACTTAGTAAAATATATAAATATGATAAGTTACGAATTCAAAGAAATAATACCTGCATGGTTTCTTTTCTTGTAGTACCACTGTTGAATAGAGGCTCGAAAAACTCCATTAACATAGTAATGGGTAATTTCCGGGAATGACGACTTAGAGCGTTGATTGATTCTGCACTATTAGACGTCATGAAACCATATCTTGCTCCAAGTTGATGTACTCTTGACCATCTTTCAAACCCGACATCTTCTAGTGTTTGAGCACACTGAGGCAAAACACGTCTTAAACAATTTATATGCTTATTGAAATCCACTTCCCGATAAGCTTTTACAGCCTTCCAGTATGTCCATTTGTGCTTTTTTATACCAGCAGACCTTGATTTTAGATTTCTATACAAATGAACACCACAAAGTCCATGAAAAGCATCTGGGAAACACCTTCTAACAGCGTTGTCAATTGAGTTTGCCCTATCGGATATGATTGTCAGATTGCTAATAGGACCTATGCAATCCCTAAGATGCCCCATAAACCATGTCCATGAATCAGAGGTTTCAGATTTGCCAACCCCGTAAGCTATTGGCAATATCCCATTGTTAGCATCCATGGCTACTGCTAATAAGTTTACTCCAAGGTATCGACCTTTCAAATGTGCTCCGTCAACTATAATAACTGGGCGCATGCAAGTAATAAACGAACGAATCTACAAAATAATATACACAAGAAATATAATCATTTAAATGTGAAATGCATGTAACTAACAAAAATGAGTCAACAAAATTATATTGATTTACTAACCGTAGCACCAATGGCGATAAACAGCAACTCAAAGCGTCCATCTCTATCTGTTTTGATATGAGTTACTGACCCAGGATTTTCAGCTTTAAATTGTGACAATAAGCCGACAGTTGGGCAAACGATGCTTCTGGCGACCCCCTCAACAATTCCAAGGCATAACATTTGGCTCTCCAAGCTTGAGAATATGATATACTAATCTTGAACCGAGCATTCATGTCAGTCATAATTTCATGTCCCCGATATACCCTGCCATTCAAAAACATAACTCAGCCAGAAAACCACCCAACACCTTTTTGTTTGTCTGTCTATGGTGAGGAAAAACTTGGGTTCTTGAACATGTATGTTTATCAATAAAAGTCCTAACTTGAAACATTTCGCAATCTTTTATTCTCTTTGCAATCATTCGCCACATACAGTTTTTGTCAATCATACACCTTGTTTCGAAACGATCTTTGCTTGATTTGTTAACTTTTAGTTGATAGCCATCTTCCACACATTTCGTATACAAAGCTATCTTCAAGTCTTCCTTTGTATCAAAACAATCATCTTTCTTGATACGAATAACTTTTGTGTAACAATCAATGCTTTCTTTACCAACTCTTCTTCCGGTATCTGAAGTAATTCTGGCATATTCCAGTTATACGCCGTGGCATTTTCTTTTCTTCGGGGATTTTTTCTTCTTCTTTTCTTCTTCAGGATTATATGAATTACAGAATGGATGTTCAACATGTTCATTCACAGTCGTAACTTCCTCCTCATTATCATCAACAATACATTCTTCGGCAACGGCTGTTTCATCATCAAAATTCGGGTATTGACCAATATCAAAATCATTACACGCAGGGTCTGTTTCTCTTCTGAAACATCATCAAAATCCGTGTATTGACCAATATCAAAGTCCGGATATGACCAAGACCAAATTTCGAATACTGACTAGTACTCACAATTTTTTCTGTTGGCTCATCATCGTCTAACTGGTCAATACGAAAATCGGAATTTGGTGCTGAAAGTTGATTGGGATTTGGATTAGAGAAAGGTTGTGGGTTTTGAGAAAAACTTAGTTGATTACTACCCGCTACTGACCCAACAATACTACTTCTAGGTTCAACAACATACAATGTAACATCATCTTGTGAAACACTAATGTAAGCAATGAATCGTTCAACATCTTCATTGTTGGTTAACAAATAAACTTTACCATTTCTCTGATAAGATAGCCTAAATCCACTTAGGGGCTCTAAATTCAATTTATTTGAAACACGTAGCATTAGAGTTTCATAAGTTAACTTTTGTAAAGACAATTTTAGTTGAAGATTCATGGGTAAAGGCATATATTGTAAAACACCATGAACATTATCCCATGACCCTCCAAAACACAAATCTATCCAAACATGATCAACATTAGATGATTTCATGGTTGTAAATTAATTTACTAAACAGACGAGCTGCGAAACTAAAACCTGTTGCCGGATTGGGAAGGATGTCGTTGGATATAGGAACGGATGTCGCCGGAGAGAGTGATAGATGGAGATGGAATGAGTTGCGATTTAGGGATTTAGTTTATGATTTCAGTGTTATATACCCAAAATTTCAGTGTTGTGATTTACAGATTCTCGTTGCGATTTACGGATTATCGTTGCGATTTACAGATTCTCGTTGCGATTTACGGATTATCGTTGCGATTTACAGATTCTCGTTGCGATTTACGGATTATCGTTGCGATTTACAGATTCTCGTTGCGATTTACGGATTATCGTTGCGATTTACGGATACGCGTTGCGATATACGGATACGCATTGCGATTTACGGATACGCGTTGCGATATACGGATACACGTTGCGATTTACGGATACGCGTTGCGATTTATGTGTTCGCGTTGCGATTTTCATATTCGCGTTGCGATTTTGGAAAATCGCAATGCGAATTTGTACTATCGCATTGCGATTTTCAAGAATCGCGTTGCGATTTTGGAAACTGATTTGCGATTCTGGGGATCGCGTTGCGATTTTTATTTCGCGTTGCGATTTTGTTAGTCATTTTGGCAAATCCAAAAAAAGTTATAATAAAAAAAGTTGGTTAAAATCGTATATTATAACTTTTTTTTGGTCACTGAGGCGATTTTCTCTTTATATAATTTACCCCAAAAATTGAAAAGTCAACTACTAATGATCATACAAACCTACAAACTATTCTGATTTTCACTTGTAATCATTTCTTAAGATTCATAAATTATAATTGACACACTTTGTGAGTTATTCATAAATCTCCCTTGACCATATTTCATTAAATTATGTTAATAAGCAATCTCTAGAATTGCTCCCTCCTTCGACTACGGAGAAATTGTCAAAATAAGAAGTTAGGAGATGAAGAAGAGTCATTTAGTGGTCTCCATTACAATATGAGGAAACTATGTATAATACGTTGCGTGTTTTTCTCTCTAATTGGTACTAAGCCTTTTGATATACAACAACATGGTATTCGATTATTTATTGATTTAGTTGAAGCTTATTAATTTTTTTTTTTAAAATAATGTCATTACGCTCAGATCTTTTTCACGAGAGGGAAATTAAAAAACATCAATATTCACGGCATTGAATTATCTCAGTTTACTAGTACTGTTTTTCATGAGATAATTAAACACATGGAAAATGAATCCTTAACTCCCCAGTCCCATACGAACATTAGCGCCTGCTTCCTTTACCCATGTACCTTCTAAGAATGTTTCTACTGTATATTTCATGGCTTCTTCCCTGTTAATATCCCTTCTCCCTGCCCACTTCACTCTATGGTCAGTTCTCGCGCCAGGTCCCGTGTTGTTGAACTCTCCATAGAAAAGGGTATCAAGTGCAAAGTCGCCTTGCCATTCAAGCCATCCGGCAGGGTCGACGAAACCATCGATCAGTGATTCCATTACGATGGTCCTCGAATATAGCTTCCAGGGCCTGCCTAGGTAGCTCTTGAATTGGTTTGCGACTGGTTTAAACAGTGCTTCTGGTAATATCTTACAGTTTTGTAGCACAAAACCGGTCGTTTCCTGCTTGTCTTTCCTCCCTTGAGCAGTGACGATGTTCTTTTGGTTGGGGTTGGGTTGTCTTACGTAAATCAAGCAGTTCTGGAACACGGCGGCTGCGTCACCGAAGATGAAATCTATGGTGCCGGTGATCACGCAACTTCGATAGAACTGGCGGTGAGTATGCGCGTATAAGGTGTCTTGAAACCCCTCGAATCGACAGTTAAGGAAAATCGTCTTATCACTGGAGACTCTCGCTGCCACTGCTTGATGTTTGTTGGGCCCTGCGGTGTTTCTGAATCCCATGCTTTTTGCCATAAATCCAGGAGCAGCAACCACTGAAAAAAAAAAGAACATCTCATTTTATTTCAAAGTTGGAATGATAACGAACAAGTTTCTGAATTATGAGTTTAGTTCCAAAGGTTAAAGTCATCGTCAACATACCAAAAGTTGCGGTATGGTAAGTGGGGATTCCATCAACAAAATTTTTATCCCCTGTGATAATGGACTTTTGTGATCCTTCACCATACATGGTAAGGTTCACCATCTTCTTTGTAATGATTACAGTCTCGGCATATACTCCTTTCTTGACAAATATCACATACCTGTATGCCAGGTTGAAAGTGGATAAATGTGGATATTTATGAATGACAATTATGATGGAAATGGTCAGGTGAACTCAATGATGGGTCATTATTATATATATAGCATACCTTCCTTCATATGTTGGTGGCATGGCAGCAAGTGCTTCATTAATTGTTCTGAACTTTCCGGAACCGTCTTGTGCCACGGTTACATTTGGTGTCGGCGTGTCATCTTCCTCTTCCTTCAACAGCCTGCGTTCTTCAACGTTTATCCAGATGGGAAGCCCATCCTCGGCCAACAAGGGAAATCTGGTTTGTAAGAGTCTGCGTTTGAGGGTTGGCTTCTCCTGGTGTGGATTCATCAATCCAGCCATTTCACTAACCACGGCAAGGGAATTGCTAGTATAAACCTCGCTACTGTTGAGGGTAGTCCCGAACTGGAGCTTCAATGGTCCCTCAGGGAAGCTATCAACACAAGTTTCCTGGTACGACATTACAGCACTTAACCAATTGGTCAAGTCCCCATCGGTTGGTTGCTTCCCTGGAACGATTGTTCTTATTCTATCAACAGAACTCTGTAATTCTTCCTTGGCATTTTCCATCACTTCTCTACAAACATCAAACGCTCTTCTCTCCAATTCAGTATGCAATATGATCATGCTGGCTTTGGCAAAGGCCTTGTCGAGCTCTTCGGTCGTTGATGTGATGAAAGACTTGACAAGTTCTTTGGGTTGAGTCGCCAAATTTGGATTCTGTGCTATTGTCTTCACAAGGGTGTCCGAACATAAGCTCTTGTAAGTTGTACCCTCGCAAAACGATGTCACTAATTCTTTGGGTGCTGCTGATGGTGCAAGAGCTGGAGCCAGAACTGGAGCTGGAGTTGGCGGATGTGATGGTATTGGTGCAAGTAATGGAGGTAGAGGTGATGGTGTTGGTGATGGAGATGGAGACGGAGATGGAGATGGAGATGATGGTATTAGTGCAGGTAACGGAGGTAGAGGTGATGGTGTTGGTGATGGAGATGGAGATGATGGTATTGGTGAAGGTAATGTAGGTAGAGATGATGGCTTTGGTGCAGGTGATGGAGATGGAGATGATGGTATTCGCGCAGGTAATAGAGGTAGAGATAATGGTGTTGATAAAGGTGATGGAGATGGAGCTGGTGTAGATGATGGAGGTTCTGGAAATGGAGCCGGAGTTGGTGTAAGTGATGGAGGTTTTGGAAATGGAGCCGGAGCTCGTATAGGTGATGGTGGTTTTGGAAATGGAGCAGGAGCAGGTGGTGATTTTCGAGGAGATGGCGCCGGAGCTTTGGGAGATGACGGTTTTGGAGGACGAACGTTCGGAGCGGATGGTTTGGTAGGTTTAGGAGAAGGTGGCGAGGATGATGGAGGAGTTTGATGATTTGATTTATTCTGGTCGCTGTTATTACTATCACCTTTGTTCTCCTTTTTGTTACTATTTTCCGTTCTACTTTTCATAGAAACAATAGCCATGGCAACCGCCGCCGCAATACCAGCAAGGACTAAGATAGACAAGGCAATGGTTATCCTCTGTTTGAGTACCCGTTGTCTCTCCTGTCTCCGACGTTCTTGTATAAAATCAAAATCTTGAAACACCATTTTTATCAATTTTCGGCTGAGGCAGAGAGTTCTCTCTGCCTTAGTTTCAAGCTAAGGCAGAGAGGGCAATCAAAGAAACCCAATGTGATTATATAACCCTTTGTCTCTTCCCTTGCCACCCTTCTACTTTGGTTCGGATTTTCAGCTTCAATCTTATTGCCATGAAACATAAAAGTGGAGTCTGGACAGGAGAAGTTTTAGGCATCCTATTCTGATGAATGATACACTTTTCTTCTCTCCTCATCGCATTTCCCTACATTTCTATCATTGACATTGGGCTTCAATTGCTTTCAACCGTATGCTAAAAATGGCTGCTGTGTTAAATTAGCTCCAATTTTAGAAGATTAATTCCAAACATGGGAAAAAACACATTGTTTTTTTGCTGGTCAACTGTTAAAGCTATATACTAACTTGTGACCTGTCGGCACTTGCTGTCCGATGAATTCCAGTCGATTATTAAGATGAATGCATGAAGAAGGGGAAAGTTCTTACTTCATATGCTTGTTAGTTAATCGTCTTAAGAATTTATCTAAACTTTGACAGTACTCAAAGATCGAGAGAGAAAGGAAAGCCGGTTGCGTTTAGCCAATTAGCTCCGGGGATAAAATTCCGAGCAGTATAGCTTTGAGCCTCTGATTCGTTGGTGATCAAACTATACCCCGTCCATGTAACCCTACTTGACGTGTTTGCGCCAGGTCCGATGTTTTGATACTCCCGATATGTCAAAGTGTTTAGTGCAAAATCACCATTCCAAGGGAACCAACCAGCGGGGTGAATAATATCACTTATGACAGATTGCATGATAATTCTCGAATATTGCTTCCATGGTCTCCCTAAATAGGTAGAAAAATTGGCCTTCATGGCTTCTAAATCATGTGTAGCACCGATCCTGCATTTTTGGATCACAAGCCCGGTGTTCTGGTTCAGATCATCATGGCCTCGTGCGGTGACCATGTTCCTTTGGTTCCGATCGGGTAGACATGCATGGATGTCGCAGTCTTGGAACACAGCTGCTGCATTTCCGAAAATGAAGTCCACGGTACCTGCAATAAGGCATTCTGAATAGAACTGATGAAGGCTGTGGACATAGACCTGGTATGCTAACATGTCACACCTGTAGAATGCTGATAAGTCCGATCCAACGTGCAGTGCCACCGCTTGGTGCTTCGATGGTCCAGCCGTGTTCTCAAATGTTATGTCCCTGGCCAAGAATCCGTCCCCCACAGCAGCTGCAAAAATGTTTAAGATACAAATTGTTCAATTTCAACTTCATTAATCATTCAAAATTTTAAACGGAGTACTCACCGACAGTGGAAGAGTTGAAAGTGGTGCTGCCATCAACGATATTTCTGCTAGCAGTGATGATGGTGTTGACCCTAACATCTCCCACGAACATGAGATTGATTTTCCTCCTTGGAACAGCCACGTTTTCCCTATACACTCCAGATTTAATCTTTACAACGTAACTCGTCTTGCTTCTCTCCGGCGCGGCCGCCACCACTTCAGACACCATGAGGAAATCACCACTGCCATCAGCCACCACGGTTAGTTAGTAGTCACTGTTGTCGCCTGTAATAGTCTACTATCTCCCGCCGACAACCATTCAGACCACTCGGTTTCGTCTTGCTCCTTAAGCTGCCTACCGGATGATGGGTGACCCTGGCTTGCCATGTCCGTGTCGGTCAAGTTCTTGATCATTGCCAGGGCATTGCTGCACATACGGAAAACATGCATCTGCCCTTCGAGGCAAGTTTCTTGGTTGGACATTGCAGGACAAAGAAGGCTCTTGAGATCATCAGCGTGTTGAGAAATCGACTTTTTGAAGTCGGGATAATCTATGAGATCTTGTTCAGCTTTGGATAGCTCATCCAAAGTTTCATCCTCCATTTCGAGACAGTCATAAAGGGCGGTCATTTCACGCTTCATGAGGCTCTTCCAGCGGGTACTGATGAACTTCCTGATGGATAAACAGTTACTCTGGACAGCACTTACCGTCAAGTTCAATGACAATTCTATAACATCCTTGGGGTTCTTGATCTTGGTCTTAGCATCTCGGGCTGAAGAGATTGTTGAGAAGCATAACTCTGGGTACAATGTGGCGCTACATGAAGATTTGATGATGGAGTGAGCTACTTCAGTGTTATTGCCGGATTTCTTATTGGAAATGGTGGTGGCAATGGCAACAATAGCAATAACGAGAAGGATAGAAGCAAAGAGAGCCAAGAAAAGCTTTTTCCTACGTTGGGATGTCGCAAATCCAGCATCACCAGAGATGGACATTTTCGACGGCAGCCAATTACTAGAGTTGGAAGTTGTCTTAAGGGAAATTATGAAGAGAAATGATAGTATTTTGGTGCTCTTAAATACTAGAAGATGAGGGGATCAAGACTCAAGATTTGTCAGTTTAATAATGAACTAATTAGTAGCTGTAGTAGCATCAAACACGATATTATCTAAATTTATTGTTTTAGTGAGGACAAACTTATAATGCAATCTTGAAGTGGCAAGTGGGATTCTTTATAGAATTGTTTAATAAAAATATAATGTAAAATGTTATGTTTTGGTCGTGGGACAACAATTTTTTTATATGCAACGGTAACCGATATCAGGAAGCACCAACACAGGCTAAGCCTCGTTTTGCGGATCTGTATTCAGTTACCGTTAAGTTTTATAATTACAAGTAAAAGTTTATACTAATATTGATAACGAAATTTTACACAAAAGTCATGTGGTCAAATTTTGTTCCTAATCTTTTCTACTCTGCGTTGGCTGGAAATGTAGTATTGGGACCTACAGCACGGCAGTTGATCTCATTTTAGATCCTTGGCTTCTGACAATCCACTGCATTTTCTTGACGTCTTGATCAATAGTTACAACTTTTTGGTGTTAATTGAATTAAATGTCTGAAATTCAACTCTACTAATGAAAATTTTCATTGTTCAGACATTCAACTCTTCCAACGAGCAGCAAAAGTATACAATTGATCATCCTGTACCTCTATACTTCGCTAAGATGGTCAACGAAAGATTACATTCAAGCATCTGTTGGTATAAGTAACAGAGGAAACCATTGGTGCCTAAATTGTTGCATTATTTTGCCAAATAAGTTATTCAAGACTCACTTTTACTCTATTGGGTTTGTCGATTCTTAACGCCGCAGCAGGCTTCAATGGTAAGAGACTGCCCATCACGTGATAAGTGGAACCTTCTCGGTGCTGGGAACTCCTTTTCCTAACATCACAAGACCAAACATGCTTATAACTAAATCAGACAGGCAATTCTTCAGCACAACAGCTGTTCCCATCTTGTCTGCTGCCCTGTATTGTGTAAATTTATCGCATTGTATAGTGGTTTTGCTTTCCTGCCATGAGGAAAAATTTCAAAGGCAAGAACCCACCTTCTTCTATAACAGAATTAAAATGCAGTTTCTTTAGAATGCCCATTTAATCAAAATAAGATTTAAAAAAAAAAAAAAACACAAGTACCATATTAAATGGGCAAAATTTTCTTAAAATGTTAATTATGTAATTCTTGACTGTTCCCTATAAACACTCGGACCTTACAAAAATAAATCAAATTGTCAATTTCCAACCTTCTATTTTTCTTAATCGGATAACATTAATTCTTAACTGGTACCTATAATAATAAGCACCCGGGGACCGTAAAGAAAAAAAGGTGAATTTCCAACCTATTTTCTTACCCCCAACAATAATTCATGCCTGTGTTCATATGGAATGTGCAGCAACGCTGAAAATCATTCCGCAAAAGTTTCCCAACAAAATAATTTGCTAAAACTCTTTAGGTAGGAGAGCTTTCAACTGCACCCTAAAAATATCACCAAGTGCTCTACGAACATCCATCTGAAGAAAACAAAGTTTCAATTGGTTTTCAACTCAAAGAATGAGATATCAATGTGGATTATCTACTAGTTTAGAAACATCAACAAACTTGTTTCACATCACTTGTTACTACAAAAATTAATAAAAAAAATAACAAAGATATGAAAATCGCCCAACATTAAAATCCACATTCTCATCAAATGGGCACGACATGTTGAGGTGCTTTTCTTTAACCGAACCTACCCAATATTGATGAAGAAGTCACTTCAAATTTAAGTTAATATTACTCTAACAATATCAGTTGAAGGCTCATAGCAGAGGAATACATTAATCAATTATGCCAAGTTTGTAGAAAGTTGATTTACTGGAGAAGGAGAAATAATTTTATTCACGTTCAAAATCAGTAGTTACTGCAAGGTTTTTATACAATAAATTACTAAGAGTCCTAGCTAAGATAAGAGTTCTAGCTAAGTTAAATGTTATCTTTATCTATGGGCTAGAGTTAGAATAAAACTCATAAAATTTACAAAGTAATCTCCTACACGTAACATAACTCACAGAGTCAAAATATGTTTTTAGCAAGTGATAATGCCTCAGCACTATAGTACTCCTTTCGGTATGAAAGCTTGGCAGTTTAAGTGTTATATCACTATATTTTAAAAGCCATATAATCAAAGTAAATCGTTCATGCATTGCATACAATCTCGCTACGAGAAATCTATTAGGACTTGGGAAGATTTACCTGGTCACAGCAAATAAGTTTTGTAAGCAAAGGATAGAACACCTCAAGGTTATTCCTGAAAATCTTATTGTCCATGAAGCACATGCCGTTAAGCACCTGCAAGAGGAAAATTGACAGAGATTCCTGATTACAGCTGAGATTAAACGAAATCACAAGAGCAAAGAATCAAGTTGGTAAATTAACAATTAATAACGACTCCAAGAATGAGCTTATCTCAAGCAAACAATCTGATCAATAGAAACAGATTTATAAGATAATTCAACCACTGAAAGAATGCCGACAAGGTAGGCATTTCACTTCAATGCGCTAATAGTTCAACAGACATCAATGTTTGAAAATATACTGATACAGCCATTCATGGATTTGCACTAATATGATTTTAGCATAGGCTATATTGTATTATTGTTTCACAGACAAGGC